AATATTGCAACATTCGTAAAAAAAACATGTAGATATCGATCCCAGGTGAAGGAAGAACATGAGTGATCCCGTTTTGCATGACACCAAATCTAGGCCGCTCTAAGACAATTAGCGCCATAGACTGCTTCAAATACGAACTTCAAGCGGTCAGTGGATTGGACTGAGTTTGGTAAATGAGCTATGGGAGCAGAAATTCGTCCGAAGGACAGAAACTTGAAAAGCTGGTCGAGTCTCAATCTACTTGCGTACCAAAAGAAGACTGTTGTATATGATTGTAATAAATGGCAAGTTACGGTAGTCTGACTGTGTAATTGGCTGCAGTTCTTCCGTAGGATTATAGGTCTATCTAAACAGAACTGTTGAACTCAATACCAACTTCACAAAATCTTCGTGTCCACTCATTTAATAAACGACTTCACTCGGTATACACTTTGTAACTAAGTGCTGGCGACTTTTCGCGTTAGCGGAAGTTTTCGTCTTTTTTGAAAAATTAGTCGTTTCTAAACAAACTTCTATAAGTTTTAAAAATATTTCTCTATAGTTTTACATTCGTTTAAGGTAGGCCTTTATTATCTCAAAGCTTGGGTACATCCTTTAATGGTGGTTTGCGAATTATTTTCAATCTATCGTAAATTTCGGCATTTTGCATGACTTAGGCCATCTACTGTAAATATGTGTTGTTGCTAAGACATCCTCCAATAAGCCGAAAAAGGAAAAAAGGCGTTAAACTGGGCAAAGGAGGGGCAGAAAGAGAGAGACTGGTTGAATTTACTTGTCAGCCACCTGCCGGGCTTTGAGAAGAGCTGCTGTGTAGCAGATTGTCGCAGACTTTGGATAGTGAATATCTAAAAGTGCAAATCATGAGGGGAGATTTTCATGAAACGACAAAAGATATTGGCAAGCGTAAAACATGACTTGGAGTAGAAAAGAAGGAAGCCCGCAGATTATAGAAAAATAATTAACACTTTTACGAAGCACATGGAGGCCGAGAATCGACGAGATCAAAATTAAGCAAGGAAGAGTGGTTCCCATAGTTTTGGTAAATTACGCCTGAATACTACCAGATATCCAAAACATATTTTCAACAGGGGGACCTTGGCAGTTGAGCGTTGTGTTCAATGTTCACATTGGAAAGAAAAGTGCTATTCCCTAAAAGATCTGTCCAGAACGGAATATAAGATAAAAGTTTGAAGGAGACAGTGGATTTGACTGGTCAAACATTCTTAACTACATGTTCTCTCAGTTCATACTGTTCACTGCTGTGAGTGTACACTTGTTAATTAGTAGATGACTGGGGTAACAGTTTTTCAGAGTACATCCACAGTTGCTTAAGGGAAGAACCATTTCAATCCCCAAAATATTTCACGAATATGCGCATGCTAGGTAGATGCATAAATAAATAAATAAGAAGACGGTTTGATTGCCCGAATCATTCCTTTCTTCATCCGAGCTCTCGAAAGCTTACTTGAGAACACCACGCAGCATCCCAATTTCCACGAAACCATCAGGTGACTCCCAAACCAAACTGTGTAAGAGCACTTTACAAAC